CCTGGCATGTTGAATGCATTCATTAGAAGTATGTACAGGTGACTTTCTATGAATGTTATGAACAGTGGGCTTGATAAATATTTACTGATTGAATGAATAGATGAGTAAAATCTGCTGGAATTTTTTTTTTGAATTTTTGCTAATCAAAAGGGTAATAAAATAAATGTAAGTTAATATTAATGATTTGTGGTAATAAATAGTAGACATGTAAAACATAAATACTACATAATCCCAAAAGTGATTTGTACTCAATATCCCTCATATTGTTAATGAAAAAGTATAAACATATTGAAAGTATTCATTCAACTTAATTGAAAGTATTCTTTTAAATAAATTAAATGTATTTTTACATAAATAAAACAGGTAGAATTTAGAGAAAAGTTAATAAGTACACAAGAGTTAGCTGGTAAGATAGAAACATTTGCATAAAAATATAATACAGTAAAGATAATTAATACATGAAAGGACATAGATGTATCATAGAGCCAAGTAAAGCAAAATAAATAATACATGAAAATGACAAAAAACAATACAGAGAAAACATACAAGGCACTTGTCCTAACACCTTCATGGGTATACATTATCCCCATTATTCTGTCAACCTCCTACCCTATGCAGAGAACATCTCTAGAAATGATCACAGGACCTCTCTTTGGTGGCTGCTCACTTTCAGGATTGGATGTCTCACTATTTCAATATTCGGAGTCTATTGTAGGGAAAAACATTATAAATACATATTCTTATAATTTATTATCCCTCAGCCTCTACAGGGAAAAGAAAAAAAATAAGGTGTGGAAAAGTAGGAAAGGGAAAAGAGTAAGCAATTGCTTTTGAAACATTTACCATCATTTATCATTGCATTCTTCCTGGATTTCAGGCAGTTCCTAGCAGAGGTTTGTGGGCTTTGTTCCTTTTTTGATTTTTGAGGTTCTGTATGTTTTTTTGAATTTAGTTGAATGGTCAAGTTATAAAAAAAATGCTGTTGTTTTCTATCAAGATATGAAATGCCAATTAAAAACAGTTCCTCCTGCAAAGTATGAAAATATTTTTTAAATAGATGTTATGTGATCTTACAACCATTGGCAGTCACCTTGTAGTAACAAACCTACTAATATGCAGTGTTACATGTGTAAGGATATATATTACAATATTGTTTGTAGAAGGGAAAATATAAAAGAATTATATATTAATAGCAAAATTTTATGCAAACTGGAATACTAGTAGCTTAAGAATGAAACATTATGGAGTTATTTTACAAAAGTGTGAGTTCTACTTGAGGAATATGCATAATAATTCTTAAGAAAAGCTGATGTAACAATAGTAAGTATGATATAATCCCAATATTGTAAAACCAAATAAAAAGAAATCATAAGATAAATGCTTTTATCACTATATGAGTTTTGATAGGATTCCATGAAAATGGAGGATTTAGAAAAATAGTAATTACCAGCCCATTAATCCTATTCACATCAGGGAATTATGAATAGACAAGGGTTATGCAATGTCACTAATGTACCTTTTATCTTTTTATATGTCTTCGTTGATTTCAATGAGTAATGAAGGTTTTAGTAATTCAGTATAATAAAAAAGATATTGTTTAACTCTACAGCAAAAACAAACTAGAGAGAAGAACATAAATCTCCTAGTGTCAAGCATGTGGCTGATTCTGTGGAAAAAGAAAAAAAAAAAAGATGGGACAGCTTAAGAGGAGGTGAGATGGCCATGTCTTCATACCTCCAGTGCTCTTTGCCCAGACAGACAGCATTACTCATTCCCTGGGGGTCCTCACATGGAGAGGTTCATTAGTGTTACTTAAACTTAGAGTGAACCCAAACCCAACAAGTAGAAATCTGTACCTGAGAGTCACAGCCCTGACATCAGGAGTGGCTCACACTCTCCTCCCTCTTCCATGGAAAGTCCTTCAAAGTCCAAGAACAATAAGCTGACTACATCTTCCTTGGCATTTCTGCTAATTAGACTAATTACAGACTCCTGAGACATGGTTCCCAGTTGTTTCTGCATTTGGGAGCCACAAAGAAATGTGCCAGTGTCACTTCTAAAGGCAACTTACTTGTGACACAGCACACATTAATCAAGTTGAATGAGTATATTCCTGGCATTAAATAGACATTATGTTATACAAGTCAAAGACCACTGAAGACTGTTGGAAGAGTCCAAGCTGCAAATGATCTTTCCTGAACTAAGAAGAGAGTGGGAAAGTTGGAGAAGAAAGATTTAAGACGTATTTGCTGGTAGAGGCATAGAACTTACTATTACATTGGAATTGGAGAGAGAGTAAAATGAAGACATTAAGACATGAATGTAGACTGAGAATAAGTAACTGGGTAATAGCAGTGGCATTAACTGGGAAGGGAATAAAACAGGGAGAAAAAGTTAGAGGCAGGGCTTAAAGGGGTGGAATAAAACACTCTGTTTTGAAAAGTAAATTTGAGCTGTCCATTATATTTGCAAACGAGAGTATCCATTAGCAATGAAATGAATTTAAGGGCAGAGATCAGGAATGGAGGTTTATATTGGGAGCTGTGGGTGGAATAACATCATCTAAGGCCATGGACCCCAATGAGAAAAGGGATGGGAAAGAGCTAAGGAAGAATACAGAGTCTAAAATTTAGATATTGAAGAAAAAAAGTCGCAAGACTCTAAGACAGAATAATAATCAATAAATTAGAAAATAAAAAAAATAAGATAGACAGCTGAGAGTTTCAATTTCCAGTGAAGTTTGAGGGAAGATCATCATTTATGTGTATGATGTAGTTTAAATAGAAATGAGGGAGAGATCAGGAAATTTGTAAAATGTCATGTTAGAGAGAGGGCAAGAGCACATGTGAGAGAAGCACACTACAATATGGGGCCAGTGTGGAGGATTCATCAGAGATTGGATCACAAATTCAAATAGCAGGGTAATTTCACATTTTAACAAGATATAGTACTTGTCCATGATTCATCAGTCCTTGCCTAGTCCAGTGCAGGCAGTGGAGAGTTAGGTAGTTGACTCAACCATTCTTCTCATTGATAAAGAAGAGAAGAGGGAATTGAGTGTACTTGAAGGGGGAGGATTATAATGCAACGTCATGTGTCTAATCAGGGTAAGAAGAACATCTGCAATCATGAGGAGAGTGTAAAAATGAAAACCTGATAAGGGAAAACACTTGGAATCTGCATGAGGATGAAATATCTGGAAAAGGAGCATCATGATAGTCCCATAAGCAGAAGAAGCAGCAGTCAGAGAAGGAACAATACAAAAAAGATCTCAAGCTGGACAGTTAGTGATGGACAATAGTGTGGCCATACAGGGAGATGGGATGTAAGTGGAGCTTTTAAGGGAGAAAGTCAGGAATAAAGAGGCCAGGGTGTTATCTCAGTTGTATTCAAGGATTCTGGCAGCACCAAGAACAGAAGACAGAGGAGCCTGGTGAGCCTGGTACTGCAGCTTTCCTGGATGAGAGGGTGTGACCAGGTTGGAGAGTGACACCAATTGAAGTGGTAGCTGGTGCCATCTGATGGGCAAATTTCAAGTAGATGGACATGGAGAGAAAAGAAAAGAAATTGTGGAAAATGACAAAGGAAAACAGGAATATTTTTATTCTAAGATTTGGCCCAGAAATATCCTTTTGAAAGAGAAGAACAGACCCTCAAATGATATCATTATTTTCAGAGGACAGCCAGGTTTTTATCAAAATATAAAACTGAAGCACACATTATAGGTCTTATGAAATTAGAAGACAATAGCCTCCAATTTCCAACAAACCCCATTGAATGTTTTCTGGGAGGCAGACGGAGTGGTTCATTTGCAGTAGCATATGGATAAAGACTCAGAGGAGGTAGTATCAAACAAGACCACAAGACTGTGAGGAGATGAATTCAAGAAGAAAATAAGGGGCGACTAGGACCCTCATTCTCACAGTAATTCCCCATAATGTGGCAGAGGAAAAGATTAACAAACAGCTTTTCAACAAAATTGGTATTGGGACCATGCCTTGGAAAGGATCTGAACTCTTCTTACCCATCCAGTTAATCAGGCATCACTCTCCCCAGCTTCTTCCTACTCTGCTCATGATGGGATTTTATCAGTCCCTCAAGGTCACCAGACTTTTCACACTTCAGTATTTACACTGAACAAAAGGTCTTATTACTTTCTTCATTTGACATCTACTTCCTTCATTGGTCTCAACCTAAATATGATTTCTCTTTTCCTCAAATTACCCATTTCCATAGCACCTTCCACTTCTTCATGACACACATTTATGGCTGGTGTGTATCCTCATGCTAGAGGGTAAACTTCATGAGGACACAGAGAGTATGTTATTCTTGTCTTTCCTCCTCATGCCTCATATTAAGTTTTTGGATGTAATTCACTCAATTACTTATCATCAACAATCTGAGCTTATAGTTTGTCTGACTGATGTTGATGGATTTCACAGTAAAAACCATGATCTCAAAGATAACCCACTAGTACTGATTACCCTAAGTTGTCCCTCACTCTCTTGAGTATATGGGTTGAATGAAGTGCTTACTCCTAATGTTAATTTCCACATCTGGATTGAATGATCACCATAATACCTATGAACAGATTGCTGAGTGGTTTAACTTGCATTACATGTGAAAAAAAAAAAAAAAACTAAAACTATGACAGGACATAGCAAGTGATTTATATAAGTGAGGTCAAATTTCTCACTCTATTATGGAAATGCAGAGTAATTATTATAGCCTAAGACTGCACTAGCCATCTGCTTAGACATTTTTTAGAGGGTAAGTTCATGCTTCTACATGCTCAATTTAATATCCATGGCATTTTTCACATAAATGTAATAACAGGTTTACTTAATTCTGTCATCAAAACAAGATTGTAAATTGAGGCTAAAATTCTCTATTCAAACTTGTGCCTCATAGACTTATTTGAACTCATTCTTCTGGTTTGAACGTATGAAATTTCTCTAACAACTTACAGAGTGAGGACACAGGAATAGGGAATAAATCACCTGAACACATGATATAAGCTTCCTCCTTTGCAGAGCAAGATCTCCGTTTCCAGGGGACAGAAGGACACTGCCAGAGAGAGGTGTCCGTTTTCCTACACTGGATTCCATCCACCCAACGGCGCCTAGAACCTTCTCTGAGAGGAACAGAAGAGTTGAGAATCCCACTGTTCCCACAGCCAAGCTGTCTGCAGATCACGGACAAGGTCACAGCTTCCATGGGGCTGTGGCAGACACTGCCCCAGGTGTTGTTGTAGAAAACCTCCAGCCACCCAGCACACTCCTGGTCCTCGCTCACCAACCTGAGGGCCAGGAACTCTGAAACCAAGAGGAGGAAAATAGGGCACAGTGAGTATTTAACCCTTAGTGCTGTCCCTAGTTAGTGAGTGCTCATTGCTAACTTTTCTGATGAAATGCCCACCAGGTGGAAAGACAAAACTTTTATCCTTTTACCTGTTTTGATAACTTGTATGTCTCTTTCTATTTCTATGACAGTGGTGTAGTGGAAAATGAACAGTCAGGAAAACTGAAGTGGGGCTCTTGAAGGGAGGGAGGAAAAGCTACTTGACTAAATATGACAGACCTTGGGAAAGGGGGTATGAACAGTGAGGTGGCAGAATAGTGAAGCCCCAGCTATGTCAGTTCCTGATCCTGGAGCTTGTGAATAGATTATTTTGTGAGGTAAAGAGTGCCTGCAAACAAGATCAATATGAGGATTTTTTAATGATGAAATTATTTTAGATTATCCTGGATTAACCATATGAGCTCAATCTAACCACTTACTTAGATCTGTATTCTTACAAGCAGATAATGGTTTCTGACCCTGGTCAAAAAGAGATGTAAAGATGAAAAATAGTCAGAAGTATAAAAGGTGGTTGACTTGAATAAGGAAGGGAAATACAGGTAACTTTTAGATGCTGGAAAAGGTAAGGAAATGAGTCTTCCCAGAGCCTCAGCTGAATGTAGCTCACTGACACCTTGTTTATATCTCAGGTAAACTGGGGTCAAACTTAAACTCATGTTGTCTTAAGCCATTAACTCTGGCAATTTATTATAACAGCAATAGGAAACTAATACAGTGGGGTCTTAGGATTTTGCACACACAGTAACTGAAGCATGAGGTCTACAGTCAAGTAGACACTGAAGAGAATGAATGTCAGGAGGCAGGGATGAGAAGGAAGTAGCAGAAGCTCAGCTGCTGCAGGAGAAAATGGAAACACCTCATCTTTTCTGCTAGAGGGACAGGCACTGTGGGGTGAGCATCCTCCCCATCTACACTGAGACCAATTTCCCCTCCTCTGCCCTAAAGCTCAGATACCATCCTGCACAACCTCCTCACTTTCTCCCACCTATACCCAGTGTGAACCACAGACCTGAGCAGATGACCCCAGCATCTTCCTTATGTCTGCAGTTGTGCTGCCCCCAGCCCTGGGAAGGGCACTGCCACACATGAGTCTCCTCTCCTGTACAATTCAGCTCATCCAGCCAGATGGGCCCTGATCCCTCTCCAAAGTGAGCAGAGATGGTGGCCTCCAGGGCCACTCCACAGCCCAGCTGTCTGCACACCACATGGGCATCACTCAGGTCCCAGCTGTCATCACAGATGGAGCCCCAAGAGCCCTGCTGCAGGATCTCCACTCTCCCTGCACAGCGACTGCCCCCATCCACCAGGCAGAGCTGTCTTCTGTCTGTGGAGAGACAGGATCATGTCAATGGGCATTTGCACAGGAAATGGGAAGGCTCTTGTGCTGAGGGCCTTGCTCACCTGAGCAGTTGAGAGTGTGCCCTTCTGTGTCTACAGAGCCTGCTGGGTCAGACCAGGAGTTATTGCACTGGGGCAGCAGCTGGGTCTGGCTACCTACACCTGGGAGTAGAGAGCAGGAAACTTAATTAAGGTACATAATAATCTAGTGATGGCATCTGACAGCTATAGGACAAAATCAGTAATTTCATCTTCAGAACTGTTCTCCTAATGGAGATTTCTGTTTCTGACTATGACACTTTTGTGCTTTATGTCAAGCACTCAGAGTGACTTTAGAAAAGTGGAATATGTTACTTCCTCTTGAGAGCACTGCAGAGCTCCAGGGACAGCTAGCCTTTAGGAGTCCAGTAAAGAGAATAGTAAAAATTGGGATCATCTATTTTTTCCTGAAGGCATTTGCTCATTTAAAGTTAGAAGCTGAGACTGAAAATCTAATCATGTTTGACAGACTGATTTGGTCATACACAAATATAATTTAGGTTGGACCAAAAAGGAGGAATCATGTTAAACAACCAGGAAAGTTGTATCATATTTGTCAACTGAAAGAATTTTTGTCACAGGGATGGTGCCCAGTTTCTTAAAACTTCAGTTGTTTTTGTGTAACGTGATCTACCTTAAATAAAGTACCCAGAAGAGGCAAAATAAAATCCTCTCTGAAGGTTTTTTATAGTTTCTCAAAACAATGTTGATCCAAAATACCACATGAAATAGAATTTAATAGAGAACAAAGAGGAAAAATAAGAAAAAATGGGAAATATTTTCATATATTAGTATTGGTGTTTCTTTATAGGAAATTTATATAATCATGATTAAATGGTCTATTAAATGGCATGATGTGCATCTTAGCAGAGAAATGATCACAAAAATCTAATAAAAATTTGAGAGTTAAAAAGTCAAGAGCTAAAAATAAGAACCCAAAGATGAGTCAACAATATTAGATTATCACAGAATAGAAATTGCAAAGTTCAAAAACATAGAAAAAATATAGAATAAAGCACAGAAAGATAAGGATAGAAACTATAAACAGGGATTTGAGAGACATGGTGAGAGAACCTAACATTCCTATGTAATCTATAAGTCTTAGGTAATTAAGGCTACTATGATAGTGTTAAAAATGTAACTTAGAAAATACACAAAGTCAGATATTCAATATACATATAGCTTTAAAAAATATCCACAAAATCTGTGATGCTCTATTCATTGACCTGTGGAATCCATTCCTCCTTACCTTTAATCTGGGCTGATCATGGTGGGTTGTCTATAAGCAATAGAATGTGGTGAAGCCAACATAGCTTGACTTAGGAACCTAGCTTAAAAAGTCATGCCTCCTTCTCTTTAGGATGTTTGATTTATGGCATATCCACTGTATAGAGACTATCATGTGGGAGAGAACATTTGCAGGTGGTTCTGTCAACAGCCCCAATTGAACTTCAAGCTACCAGCCATGTGAATGAACTATCCTGGATTTCCAAATGGGTCAAGCATTCAAATGATCTCAGTTCCACATGGCATTCAAGTGTAACCTTATGACAGATCCCAAGAGGCAACTGCCAAGAGCCCTTCCCAAATTTATGAGTCAGGAAATGATGAGAAAAATGAAATGTATTTTTCATTTCTGTTGCTCATTCTTTCTCTTTCTTCCTTGCTTTCATTCTTTCAAATGCCTAACATACAGAATAAGGATAGAATTGTTAAGGCTTCTGGAAATAAATGTCAGTTTACATTTATAGGAAAACCAATTTGCATCTCAGCTAATTTCTCACTCCAGACACTCAAATCTCAGAGGTCTTGGAATAATATATATCAAACCTTCAAAGAAAATGGATGTCAGCCAAGAATACAATACCCAGCAAAATTAATCTTCATATTTGAAAATAAAATCAAAACATTCCATGATAAACAAAATTTTAAATAATTTACAAGTAGAAAGCCTGCACTCAGAACACATTCAGCAAAATATTCCAGGAAGAAGAAATAAAAAATATACGTGAAAACCAGCAAAGGGTGAAACCACACTAAAGGAATAGTCAATCAAAGGATAAACTAAATTAAATTAAAAACCAGAAATAAAACAAAATGATTGGGAATACAAATCATATCTCAATAATATCTTTGAACATAAATAGCCAGAACTCATCAATCAAAAGACATAGACTGGCATGTTAGATGAAAATAACACAACCCAACAATATAACCTCTCCAAGAGGCTCACCTCATAGGCAAAGACATTATCAGATTAAAAGAGAAAAGACAGGAAAAACTATATCACTCATATGGATCATGTAAACTAGCAGGGATTTCTGTTCTCATATAAAATAAAGTGGACTTCAAGCAAAAGCTAATCATAAGACACAAAGAAGGACATTTCATACTGCTTAAGGGAATGATACATATGCAAGACATAGCAATTGTAAATATGTATGCCCCAAACAATGGAGCATCTATGTACATGAAATAAATTCTTCTCAATTTCAAGAAAGAAATTGATCACAATACAATAATACTAGGTGAGTATAACATATCTCTGTCAATACTGGATAAATCCTCCAAACAAAAAACTAAAGAAACTATAGAACTAAATATTACAATCAAAAATTTAGACTTTAAATACATATATAGAGTATTTCATACCTCAATGTTCAAAGACACTTTCTTCTCAGCAGCACATTAATCTTTCTCTAAAATAGACCATATCTTATGCCACAAAACAACTCTTAGAAAATACAAAAAATAGAGATAATGTCTTGCATTCTATTAGATCATAATAAAATAAAATTAGAAATCAATGATAAAATAAAAAATAGAAGCTACTCTAACACCAGGAGATTAAATAATACACTACTGAATGACCATTGATAGCAGAAGAAATCAGGGATGAAACAAAAAAAAATACATAGGGGAAATTAAAATAGTGTCACAACATATCAAAATCTCTGGGACACTATAAAGACAGTGTTAAGAGGAAAGTTCATTGCATTGAGCTCATTCACTAAAAGAATACAAAGTCAACAAATAAATAATCTAACATTACATCTCAAAGCCCTAGCAAAAGAAGAGCAAATCAACACCAAATACAATAGAAGACAGGGGAAAAAATTAAAATTAGAGCTGAAATCAATAAAATGGAAACAAAATAAATAATTCAAAAAGTTGACAAAAAATTTGGTTCTTTAAAAAAATCAATAAAATTTATAAAACCTTAGCCACTAAGAAAAAGAGAGAGAAAGCAGAAATTACTAGAAGTTTGTGATGAAAAATGAAATATCTCTGAAATACAGATGATGATCAGAAACTATTTGAAAATTTATACTTAATTTTTTAAAAAAAAATAGAGTCTTGAAGACACTGATAAATTTCTAGAGACATATGAACCTAACCAAACTGAATCAGGAGGACATGAACAGATCAATTTCAAGCACTGAAATAGAAGTCACCATGAAAAGCCTACCAACCAAGAAAAGCTCAGGATCAGATTGATTCTCAGCCAAATTCTACAAGACCTTGAAAGAAAATATATATCAGTCAAGAATACAATCCATACCAATAGACCTCAAATTATGATCAAATACAATCCATACCAATAGACCTTTTCAATGAAATGAAAAAAGAAACCCTTCCAAACTCATTCTATGAAGCTAATATTACCTTGATACCAAAACAAGACAAAGACACATCAAGGAAAGAAAACTTCAGACCAATATCTCTGATGAACATAGATACAAAAATTCTCATTAAAATTCTGGGAAATCTCATACAAAAATATTAAAAATAGTGCACCATGATCAAACAGGTTTCATCCCAGGCATGCAAGTTTCATTCAACATACAGAAATTAATAAACATAATTCAACACATTGATAGACTTAAAGACAAAAATTATATGATCATCTCAACAGATGTAGAAAAATCACTTAACAAAATACAGCATGGTTTCATGTTCAAAACACTAGACAAATTAGGGATAGTAGGAACATACCCCAACATTGTAAAAGTTATATGTGTTAAATCCAAAACCAACATTATTCTAAATGGGGAAAAACAGAAAGCATTTCCTCAAAGAACTGGAACAAGACAAGAATGCACTCTTTCACCACTGATCTTCAACATTGTCCTTAAAATTCTAGCCAGGGCAATAAGACAAAATAAAGAAATTAAATAGATACAAATAGGAAAGGAAGAACTCAAACAATCCCTATTTGCTGAAGACATGACCCATGCTTAGAAAACCCCAAAAAATTCCACCAGAAAACTTTTAGAACTAATAAATGAATTAAGCAAATTAATCTGAAAATAAAATTAACACACACAAATCAATTGCTTTCCTATACATCAGTGGTGAATCCACTGAAAGAAATTAGAAAAAATACCCCATTCAAATGGCCTAAAAAATTAAAATATTTGGGAATCAATCTAACAAATAAAGATGAAATACCTCTACAATGAAAACTACAGAACATTAAAGAAAAAAATTGAAGAACACCTTAGAAGATGTAAAGATCTCCCATGTTCATGGGGAGCAGAAGTAACATTGAACAAAATAGCCATACTCTCAATTGCTCTATACAGATTTAATGCAATTACCATTAAAATTCCAATGGCATTCTTCATTTAAATATAAAAATCTGTCATGAAATTCATTTGGAAAAATAAGATACCCAGAATAGCCAAAGCAATCCTTAGCAATAAAAATAAAGCTAGAGCCATCAAAATACCAGACCTTATAGAGCAGCATGGTGTTGGCACCAAAAAGACAGGTAGACCAATGGAACAGATTGAAGACACAAAGTTAAACCCACATAAATACTGTTATCTCATATTAGACAAAGATGCCAAAAATACACATTGGAGAAAAGATAGCCTCTTCAAAAATGGTGCTGGGAAAACTGGAAATTCATATGCAGCAAAATATAGTTGTGCCCAAATCTCTCACCCTGCACAAAACTCAACTCAAAGTGGATCAAGGATTTAGGCTTGAGAACAGAGACTCTGTGCCTAATAGAAGTAAATGTAGTTCCAAATCTCCACCACTTCAGTTTCTAAACTGACTTCCTTAACAAGACTCCTAAATGCAAGAAGTAAAATCAAGAAATCACAAATAGGATGTATTCAAACTTAAAAGCTTCTTTACAGCAAAGGAAACAATCAAGAATATGCAGAGAGAGCCGGCAGATTAGTAGAAGATCATTGTCACCTGCATTAATCTCCAAAGTATATAAAGATCTCAGAAATTTAACACCACCCCAAATAACCCAATAGATAAGTGGGCTAAGGTACTGAACAGACACTTCACAGAAGAATAAATACAATTGTTCAGTATATGAGAAAATTATCAACATTTCTAGTAGTTAGAGTCAGGCAAATTAAAACTGCACGGAGATCTCGTTTCTTCAGTTGGAATGGCAATTATCAAGAATACAAGTAACAATAAATATTGGAAAGGATATGGGAGGGAAAGGTACAACCATAAAATATGAGTGGGACTGCAGATTGGTGCAACCATTATGCAAAGTGGTATAGAGATTCATCAGGAAACTTGTAATGGAACGACCATTTAACTTAGTTATCCCATTACTCACCATACACCTGAAGGACTAAAAATCAGTATGCTATAGCTACACAGTTTATAGCAGCTCAATTCACAATAGCTAAGCTATGGAAGCAACCTAGATGTCCTTCAGCAGATAAATGGCTAAAAAAAATATGGTATATGTACACATTGGAATATTACTCAGCCATAAAGAAGAATAAAATTATGGCATCTGCCAGTAAATGATAGAACTGGTGACTACTGTGCCAAGTGAAACGCACCAATCCCACAAAACCAAAGGACAAATATTTTCTCTGATATGCAGATACTAATTCACAATAAGGTGGGTGGGTGCTAGGAAAGAATAGAGTAACTTTGGATTATACAGAGGGAAGTGAAGAGAAGGGAAGTTGTATAAGAGTAGGAAGGATAGTAGAGTGAATCAGACATTATCACCGTATGTGCAATTATGATTATATGACTGTTGGAACTCTACATTATGTGTAACCTGAGGAATGAGAATTTATATTCCAGATATGTATAATATATCAAAATACATTCTACTATCATGTATAGCTAGTAAGAACATATAAAAATAATAATGATAAATGTTTGAAGCAAATGTGGTAGCAAAAGTTTAAGACTTGAGAAAATGTTGCAGATGGTATTTGTGTGTTCTTTATCTTACTCTGTTTATCTGTCTGCTCAGCTACATAGGGAATAATAAACCTGTAGACTTTATCAATCAAAAAAATCCTCTGAATAACCCTTGACAGGGTCTGAACGATAAATGATCATTGAGAAGAATCATATTTCACCAAGGCATATCTCATATTTCTATTCTGCTCTCCATGCTGTCTGCTCTTAGAGACATGTCACTCAATGAGAAAGCTGAGTACCAGTCAGCGCTGACCTCTCTTACCTGAACAGACCATAGAGGCTGTGTTTCCATGGGCACAGGCAGGAACACCCAGGGCAGTCACAGGACAATTCCACAGGAGGGACTCAGACCCTGAGCAGTGGAATCGGTCTCTCCAGATCTCATCTCCTCCTTCCACAAAGTATGCTCCCTTTGGGGTGGAGATGGCAACCCCACAGCCCAGCTGATGGCAAACAACATTGGCATTGGCCATATTCCAGTGGGAGGCACAGAGTGTTCTCCAGCCTCCAGAGGTCTTCATCTCCACTTGTCCCTCACACTGAGAGCTGCCATTTTTCATGAGCCTGACTTCTGTGTACTCTGGCAGGAGAAGACAGGATTTTAGTAACATCTCACATTTGTTACCACATCAGAGTGTGCAAGATGGTTAAAGTCCTGCTGTGAGCCTCACCTGAGCAGAGAACTTGCACAGCCCCTCTGTGTTGGCAGCTGCCTGCAGGACAGGGCACTCTGGGACAGAACCAGAGCTCAGGCTCCCATCCCTTACACTGGAACTCTTCAGCCCAGACCTGTTCATTGGCCTCTCTGAGGGGCAGGTCCAAGAGAAAAGATGCTGCCTTGCCACACCCCAGCTCTGCACAGATGACCTGGGCAGTGGGTTATGTGAAATTCCCATAATGTACTGGAGTCCATCCTCCTCCAGAATTCACTTCCACTTGCCCAGAGCAGGGTCCACCTCCTCCATCCAAACGCACAAATCCTGTGGAAGAAAATAACTAGTGCAATGAGTATCTAGGGTTGGAATTGGGAGCTATATGTCTCAGGAAAGCTGTAAAATCTTTTCTTTTCCCAGGAATGAATTCAATGGTGTCAGAATGGAGATTGCATGAGCAAGTGTCTGAAGACAACTTTAGGAGGAGGAATTTGTAAGGTCAGTTCTAAATGGCTGACTCCAGAAGTTATATACACAATATACATATATATTGTGTATTTATATATAGTGTGTATATAATATGGATATATTATTCTATGTATTACAATATATTTAACTGTGTGTCTGTGTCAGTCTACCTCCTTTTTAATAAGGCCTATATCTATTCCCTGAATTTGAACTTAGTGTAAAAAAAGACTAGAATTCATTTTTTACTATTTTAGCCTCAGAAATTTCCAGTTCACAGGTAATAATTCCAACTAAGTTAAAACTTGTTAAAGAATGAAAAAATTAAAATGTAACCAAAAATGAGAATTTACATTAATTTCTCATTTAAATATGAGAAAAGAGCCCACAAAATAGTGTGAGACAGAGATGAAAAGTAGGTTATGATGACTAAGATAATCTGGGTTCTTTACACCATTCTTCCCATTAAAGAAGACAGAAAGAGAATTTAGAAGTAGGATCAGCTGGGTGAGGTGGCATAGGTCTATAATCCCAGTAGGTAGGGAAACTAAGGCCAGAGGATCTTGAGTTCAAAGCAGCCATAGCAATGGCAAGTTGCTAAATAACTCATTGATCAGTCTGCTACCTTCTAAATAAAATACAAAAAACGTGTTGGGGATGTTGCTCAGTTATTGAGTGCCCTTGAGTTCAATCCTTAGTACCCACCCCCAAAAGAAGTAGGACCAGAAGTTGTGAAGAGACTTGAGCATGCATATTTGCCTTTTTGTTTTGTTTCAAGGGATCATTCTGTTACTAATATGTAGAGTTGGAAGAAGCCATTAGACATCTATTGAAGTTGATCAGGAAGTGATTTTGAGTATCGGTTCAGATCTTTGGGGTGGCATCTGACTACAGATATGCAATTGTAATGTAATAGTAGGTTGGTATCCTGAAGAAGGAAATCCTTTCTCTGGAAAAACAACATGTTCAGTAATTTTTCTTTTCAAAGTAAGTCATCAAAATGGAATTTACTGAGTATGGATAAAAAATGCCTCCGATCGGGAAAGGATAAAAATGCAGCAGAGAGGTCTTCAAAGGAGACACAATCTGAACTTTCTCCCTAGTCCTGATATAGGAAAGAGGTATATAAAGACAATATTGAGAGTCTGCTTCCCTGTTTTGTTATTCACAACACTAGCATGTTTTCAGAATCTGTCATGTTCCAGATGTGTTTTTAGGTGCTGGGTATATATATTTAAAGAAAATAATGTCATTATCTTTGCAGAGCTTTTCATCCAGTGGGGAGAAACCCAGTTTTAAGCCATTTGAAGTTTGTGAACCATTGGGTGAAAAAAGAAAGAAAAATTGCATCTGCAGAAATCTATAGATTCATATGAATTTTTCTCACTGGAGTAAATTAAAAATTACAGTCATACATATCTTTGTCCTATCTTTAGCTCCATAGACACATTGCTCCCCTGGGCATATTTCAAGTTTCCTATGAAAGTATCATCCAAGGGACCTTTTCTTTTTCTATTCTGACTTTGTCTAATACCTCAACCTTGAGTCACTCTTGAAAATCATTTTTCTCCTTTTGTACAGTAGGGGTATACTGAATTCACACAGTGTACACAGATTGCCCTTCCAACACCAGGGTCTTAAATGCTGCTGAAATAATCCTTATGTGCTCTTTATCAACCTTTGAAGGTAATCCCCCACATACTGTAAGCTTCCTCTGTCTTCTTTGGAAAATTCTATTTGTCTTCCTGTCTCATTCTTATCAAATTTATTTGACAATATACTCTTCTTGTATCATTATTTCCATTAGATATAAACAATATATTTTTCCCTCTATCTAATCATCTTTATATTTTCCTTCATTTTTATCTAAGTAAATTTAAACTAACTGATATCTACTGACTTAGTGTACATATAAATTTCATTAATTCATGTGCTGATGTATGTATATATGCATTTCTTTGTCTCTTCAAATCTTTTCATTTCTTTTTTTTGAAAGCTTCCAAAACACTTTCTTTTAGCTCTGTGAAATGTAGTTCCTTATTGTTTTTTGTAGCCACCCTCCTGTGCCACAGTGCACCAGAACTTTTTGCTCCTATTTAAGTAAAACCCATTAGTCATCAATCAGTCTGTTGCTTTCCATTCCCATTCCCTACACTCTCTAGTCTATGATAACCACATGTCTACTCTCAACCTCTATGAGGTCAACTCTTTTATATTTGACATACAGTGAGATTATAAGATACTTGTCTTTCTTTGCCTGACTTATTTCACTTAACCTAATTATCTCCTGACCCATGCGTATTATGTCAAATGAAAATGTTTAATTTATTTTATGGCTAAATAGTATTCCATTGTATTTCATTTCTTTATCCATTGATCAGCTGATGGGCATTATTTCCATTTGTTAGCTACAATATATAGTGCTGCCATAAACATGGGAGTACAGATCAGATGTCTCTTTAACATACAGATTTCACTTCTTTGGACATATACTCAGCATTGGGATTGCTGTACCATACGGTAATTTAGGGCAGCAGGATGTCTGATAATGTCTTTGTACCTCCTTCATGTCTAAAGGATATATTTGATGGATTCAGTATTCTTGATTGGCAGGTTTTTCTTAATTTCTATGAAAATCTCATGGCACTCACTTCTGACCTATATGTTTACTGTTAAGAACACTGCCATCAGGTGAATTGGGACATGCTATTTCATAGTTTTTTCTCTTGATGCCTGAGAGTCTTTATCTTTCATCTTTGAGATCTGTACCCTAATATATAGAGATAAGAACCCCCCCGAGGCTTCCAGTCACAATCCCCCAAATAATGTTTCACCTTCACAAAGAGACTTAACTCTCTCCATGTTGTGCTGCCAGGGGTTGAGGAAGAAGGTTGGGAAGTCCTGTGGCCACCAACCCTACAATGTTATATCACACACTGAGGCCACAGCCTGCCAAAGCAACACAGAAGTGGGGAGGGACCGAGGCACTCAGTGCTATGAGCTGCCTATTGCTAGGTGGACTCAAGGCTCTAAACTCCTGCAACCAGCCACAGGTGCTTCAGGCTCTTCTTGAGTCTGTCCCACCAGCACATAGGTCTTGCTCAGTTACCTTTGTTCTACATTTGAGGCCTCTAATTCCTACTGAATATGATCATGGTTGGTCTGGCACTGAATTCCAAGACAAAGTCCTGTGCCAGCACTGTTATCTGATTCTTGCTTTCCCCTCTTCTACTAGAGGTTGGAGAAGTGGTGGTGGAGACAGTTTTGCTGCCCAACACAACAGAGTTCCAGAGTCTCAGTGTGAGGTTACTGGCATGGGGACAGGGTTGTTGGGCTCTGTTGGTACCCAGGTTTCACTGTGGCAGGCCTATTCCTGGGTTTCAAGTCTAAGATTTGGGATTAATTCCCTTTCCATTCTCCAAAAAGTAGGCATTTCTCTTCATATTGGGCTCCCTGAGGTTGGAGAAAGGGTAAGTATTATCTTCCTTCCTCTTTCAATGTGCCTTTTTTTTAATCTATGTAAAAGCATGCACCCGCCTGCTTTATTGTCTCTTTTGTGTGTGAATTACAGTTAATGTGGTGTTTTTATGTGCCAGTTTTGTGTGTGAATTACAGTTAATGTGGTGTTTTTGTGAGAGATCACTGAACAATCATCCTGATCTGAGTTCTAAATTATATAACATCTTACACAATAAATATGCATTAATATTTTGTTTCATCCAACACTAATCTGCCAGCACAAGGCTAAATTCAGCTCCCACATATGAGTTTATACAGATATTGCTTTAAGAAAGAAATGTAGAGACAATCTATGTAGTAATGATGGAAGGAAAACCCATGACTCAGAGCATTTAACTCAAAGTTCTCTGGCCCTTCCTGCCAATGAGTTGATAATTATGATGTCTGAATATGGAAAAGAGAATTGCAATTTTGTGGTAATTCTTAAATTACCCTGCGATGTGTTTAGTCCCATCCCTGGGCCCATACACCTACTAACCCAATGAAAAATTATCTCTGGCTATACATACATGAACACTCAATTCAATTGAAAAAAGCAACCCCCATTCTTGTCTCTCTTTTGAAAAGTAGTTATGTGTGTTAATTTATAGGTAAATCTATAAATAGTAAATTATAGAAACAAATTATGAAGATGATTTTAAGTAAAATAATTCTACAAAACCAAAAACCTATCTTTTCAAGTATGACTACAGAGAAGGGAAAGAACGATATTTGAGATTCAAAAGAAATAATTAAATCCCATTACCCACTGCTATTTTGAACCCTCAGGGTCCAAGGAGAACTCTTAGTCCTCTGTGGCTCATCTGTCTCTTATTTCCCAAGACTCAAATACACACTGTTTGTCCTTTTCATTCCCTTAGGCAGTGGAGAATGTGCAGACCATACCTGAGCAGATGACACCTGCATCCCACTTGTGTGTGCAGTAATGATGTCCCCAGCCTAGAGAAGGGCACTGCCACACTTGGTCCTCCTCTCCTGTGCACTTCAGTTCATCCAGCCAGATGGGTCCTAATCCCTTCCCAAATTGTGAATAGTTCATGGCATCGAGGGCCATTCCACAGCCCATTTGTCTGCACACCACGTGGGCATCATTCAGGTCCCAGCCGTCTCCACAGACAGTGCCCCAGGTATACTGGTAAAGGATCTCCACTCTGCCTGCACAGCGACTGCCACCATTCACCAGGCGGACCTGTGGAGTCTCTGAGGAGAAAGAATCGTGTTAATGGTTGTATTTACAAAGAAAAGGAGAAGGGTATTGTTGTCTTCTCATACTCCCTCCCCCAACCAATCAGTTGGCAGAATTCACTTTCAGATTGCAGAGCTTGCTGTGTAAGATATGGAATTATTTATAGCAGGGCACCAGCTAAGTTTCAATTCCTACCAAATAAGTAGGAGAATTAATTGTGTAAAAAACAAAAAATGAGATTAAACACAGCACAATCTAGTTAGATGTCTCATGTAGAAGTTGTGAGGTAGTTGCTATCTGAGATAAACTTACTATTTGCAGAGATTTTCATGGGATCTGGTAACACAATTCTAGAAATGTCAGGTTTCCTACGTTGAGTAGTTAAAAGTGTCTTTTTCTGAATGATTTCTAAAAGTTAATGGGCCAGCATCTGATTGTTTCTTATAGAGCACACACACTTGAGTGCCAATGGCCCGAGATGTGGGAGGACCAGAGCACAGGGGATAGAGTGCGGAACTGGAATGAGATCATCAGAAACCTCAGGTGACAGCCATGAATCCAGGAGAAATCATAATCATATGGTCATTAAGACTGGAAAATGAATGGACTATGGTTTACCTAAAAATATTTCAATAATGATTCTAGGCTTCAGAGTTCAGATTGGATATGTGACATTAAAATTTGACTCACTTTAGGTAGACTGAGCAAGTTCCTCAAAAAGAGAATTTCAGATATCAACATTGCTCAACTTCACTAGGTATCATAGAATGTTACTTTTTTTTCCAAATTCTTCTTTCAGGAGTTGTTATTACTCAAAAATAGGAGGTAAATAGCAGAAAAGAGGTAACTTTATTGTGACTGTGAGTTAAAAACATTAGGGACCAAATGTGTAATTGTTCTTTGAGAAGAGAAATAGAGGAACTATAAAGAACTATTTATCAAACACAGTTGATAAACAACAGGGAGAAGCAGAAAGGCAGCCCAGAGAAATGTACAAAGTAATTTACAACTTCATCTCCAGCTGCCTGGTGAGGGAGGCAACCTGCAAGCATAAGGTAAGCTGGAGAGGGCAGACAAGCCAGATGGTGTCAGCAGAGCAGCAGTCTTAGCTGTGGAAGAAACACATGGTTCTTACAAGATTTAGATCATATTTGGGGCATTGTTCCGAGAGGGGATACTCTTATACAGCAAGCAAGTTTTAGGAAAAAACATCCATCACATTGCTTAGCAAGTTCTCAGAGTGATATCACCAAGAGCTGTCTTAAGAAGGGGCCATTGTTAGGAAATAAATGAGTCTGGGGTTTAGACAATATGTGGTAATCACAATTTTAGGCCCCTGGGCCACCCTGCCAGAGTAATTGGGTATAAGTTAGTGTTCTACAGTCTCAGGTAGGAAGAGTGCTTGTCACAAACATGCTGAGAGCATCAAATTGTAGGGGAAGGATGGAGGTCTCATTGGTAAGTGGTCCCTTCCTCTGTGAAGAAGAGCAATACCAGGCAGTGTGGTTGCACATAAGGACCAGGTCTGAGAGCTTAGAGACAGCATCTGGCAATTCATAACATTCCCATGTCACCTATCCTGGGATTACACTATTTCCCACATGCTTTTCATGGATTTACCATGGCTAGGACCCAAGGTATACCCCAATGGGCACCTTCTAGAGGCATCTGGGGCAAATGTTTGCCTACCTGTTGGGTCTGCAAACCACTGAAAGGAGAGCTGACTTGACATTTGACATGCCTTCAGGTTTCCAGACAAAACCCCGGCGGGGATAGTATGCCTGTCTTGTAAACACACCTTTAACCTCCTTGACAAGAAATGAATAGCACAGTATAGTCAATTTATTGCCTCTGATCCCAGCATGTTTGCTGGGAAGCAAAAGGAACTGAAACTGATTTCTTTTGCAGTTTACTGACTCCCACATTCCTGATGGATTCAAATGTTAGATGACCTGGAAAAGGTGTCTTCAATGCAAATATATTTGCTGGGAAGATTTTTGACAAATATTTTTATTTATGCTTTATTATGTTTCCTTACTACTAGTTAATTAATTTGTGTTTTTTTTTTTAAATTCTTCAAATGGAATTTTTCTCTCTTCTTATTTCTCACACCCCCCTTCTCTTTACTGTACTGGTGATTGAACCCAGAGCTACATCCCCAGTCTTTTAAAATTTATTTACTTATTTATTTATGAAATACCTTCTTTCTAAGTTGCTCAAGCTAGTACTGTACTTGTAATACTGTCTCAGCCTTCAGAGCCCATAGGATCACAGGTAAATGCCGCCTGCCTGGTTAATATTTTCCCTTTTTTGCTACAAATATTTTTCTTCCTCCCTTTTAATTCCCCTTCTTCCTTCCCTTTTATTTTCCAACTTCAATATTTTTTGAATTAGTTTCTCTTTTACTATTTTTGACTTTCTTTTTCATTCTATATTTCTTCTTCCCATTATCTATTGTTACTGCTCCTTTAGTTGTTGTTGAATGTAATTGATTATTACTGTATTTATATAGCTGGTTTTTAAATTTATTTTACTTGGCAACAGAGATTGAACTCAGGGGAACTTAACTACTGAGACACATTCCCAACCCTTTTTTCAAATTTTTTTGTGGGGAAGGGTACTGGGGATTGAACTCAGGGGCACTGGACCACTAAGCCACATCCCCAGCCCTATTTTGTATTGTATTTAGAGACAGAGTCTCACTGAGTTGCTTAGTGACTCATTAAATTGCTTAAACTGGATTTGAATTTGCAATCCTCCTGTCTCAGCCCCTCAAGCCACTGAGATTACAGACATGCACTGGCTTCTTTTCCGAATTTTGAGACAGGTCTCACAGAGTTGCTTAGAGTCTTGCTAAGTTGCAAAGGATGGATTTGAACTCACAATCCTCCTGCCTCAACCTCCTGAGTGGCTGGGATTATTGGCATGTTCCACCATGCTCAGCCAGTTTATTGTTATATTGTGGGCACTGCTGTTGTTTTCTTTTTGCTGAGTTATGTTGGTGATCAAGCAGAGAACCTCAAACATATTGGGTGTGTGCTTTGCCACTGAGATATAACTCCAGCCAGTCTAGAGAAGTTTTACCTTACTGAAGCCATGACCTAGTACTGCCGAAGTATTGGTTGGAATTTTAACTTAATGGATAGGGAAGAGAGAAATCCACAGCTGATTAGGCTCCACAAGTAGACATAACTCCTGCTTCTGGACAATCTCCAGCTTAAGAAATCATGGGGGAAATAATTCAAATGTTGTGGGGAAAGAAAAGACCTCAGTACAGGTTGCTGCCATATCCCCTCACACCAAACACTAAAAGTAATACTGGAAAAATAATTACAGAAAAAATGCCCTACACACTGTGCTGTCTATAACAACATATCTGAACTACCAGAAGGACCTCTATTTGTATGAGAAATATAGAGAAAAATATCGTATTCTGACAGAATACTTGGAGTTTCAAAACCCATTATTACCAGCCAAAGAAGCCACAGATAAGCAACCTAGATTATCCTCTTGGAATTAATCTAACTCTTCAGGAAAGCTACACCCCAAGGCACATGATTAAGAGAAGGGTACTTACTAAGAAGACCCTCACATAACAGATTTATAAGCAGAAATACTAGCAGCCAGGGTAGCACGGATGATGTACTTGAGATCTTGAGAGAAAATATCTGCCACCTACATGACTATGTTCAGAAAAGTTATCCTTCAGAATCAAAGGAAAATAAGTCTTTTGAAGATAAGCATCAGTGAAAGGAATTTTGAACCACTGATCCTGCAAAGTGGAAGATAATGAAGCAATCCTACACAGAGAATAGGAAGCAAGACAACCTAGCCATGAGATCATAGGAAAGAATAAATCTCACTAGAAGAGCAGATAAAAAAGTGAGAAAAAGGAAAGAATCAAACATTATCAATTCAGTAAATCAATCCAGCTCCAAGACAAATAAGGGAGAAAAACATGACCACAGATTATTCAAACCTTCCAGAAAAAAAAATCACAGGCATTTCTAAAAACCTTTCAAATATAACTCTGAGAATCAGAGGTCTGCTTTTCAAATTAAAAGATGCAGCCTGGATACCTGTATTAAAAATCAAGAACCAACAAGTTGGTACCTGCAAGAAACTCACCACATAGGCAAAGACATATGTAGACTGAGAAGAAAATTATTAAAAGTAAAATTGCAAGCAAATGAAACCTGAGAGCAAACAGAAGTAACTGTATTCATAGATGAAAAACACACTCCAAAAATCAGTCAGAAGAGACATAGAAGGTCACTGCATATTAGTAAATAGAAAAAACCATCAAGAAGATAAGATATAATAATTATAAATATATATGCACCAAAGAAAGGAACACAGAATTTTATTTTAAAAAAAACACCCATGGGACATAATGGAAAAACAAACTTCAGTACAATACTAGTGGTATCTTAATATCGCATCTCACTAATAGATTTGGCATGCACAGAAAATATCAACAAGCATACATCATAGTTACACTAAAATTAAAAATCAACTGTACTTAGCATATATCTACAGAAAATTCCGTTCAACATATTTAGAATATACATCTGGGGAGTATATTCTAAGAGTAGATAGTCTGAGGTTCAACCAAGAATGTGTCTAAAATTTATAAGGGGAACAGAGAGATAGCAAACCTATAAGACAGAATAAGAACAACCAATAAGGTAGAGTGACTTTGAGGAAAAAACAAAGAAGACATCTGAAGGTTTCTATTTTCCAGGGATATTTGAAGTGATGTCATCATTTAAGTGTATGGTGGGGTTAAAATATCAGCATGAGGGAGATCTGAGAATTTGTAAAATAACATGTTCCAGAGAGGGCAAGAACACATGTGAGTGAAGCACAGTAGAATAGAGGGCCATTGTGGATAGTTTGACAGAGGTTGATCACAAACTCAAAGAGACTATCAGGATAATTTCATACCATAACAAAATACAGTACTTGTTCATGATTTAGCAGTCCTTGCCTCAACTAGTGCAGGCAGGGAAGAGCTAGATATTTGAACAACCACTCTTGCCATTGACAGTTAAAGAAGAGAGAAGGGAATTGAGTGTACTTGAAGGGGGAGGATTATAATGCAGCGTCATGTTGTCTGATCAGGGTAAGAAGAACATCTGCAATCATGAGGAGAGTGGAAAAATGAAAACCTGATAAGGGAAAACATTTGGAATCTGAATGAGGATGAAATATCTGGAATGGGAGTATTAAGACTAGTACAATATAAGGAGAAGGGGCAACAGTCAGAGAAGGAACAATGCAATCAAGGTCTCAAGCTGGACAGTTAGTGATCAATAGTGTGACCATACACAGAGATGGGGTGGGAGGGAGTAGAGTGCCTCAAAGGGAGAAAGTCGGGAATAGAGAGTCCAGGATGTTATCTCAGTTGTGTTCAAGGATACTGGAGCACCAGGAACAGGAGACAGAGGAGCCTGGCGAGCCTGGTACTTCAGCCTTTCTGGATGAGGGGAGTGGTTAAACTGGAGAGTGACAACAACAGAAGTGGTAAATGGTGTCACCTCATAGGGCAAATTTTCAAGTAACTGGACATGAAGGAAAAGAAAAAAAAATTGTTGAAAATTTCAAGGCACACCAGAAATATTCTAATAACAGAACACAATCTTATTTTAAGATTTGACCTTATAAAAAAGCATGTTGAAAGAATAGAGCCTCCAAATTATGAGGGCATTATTGTTTTCAGAGGACAGCCATGGTTTTATCAGAACAAGAAATTAAAGGGACATTATAGGTATTAAGAAATTACCTTTCAGACCAGCAGACTACCACGGGAGGTCAAGACTTGTGGCCCAGATCCATCCACACTGGCCTATGTGGGTCCCAGGCTCACAGAAGGCTCAGTCCACCCTTCCTCCGGCAGGGCAGACACCTGCCAGAGCCTAGTCTCTTGTGCAGGAAAGCCCCTTCCAACCAAAAGAGTACTGAGGAAGGTCAAGTCCAGCGGACCATATCCACCCACTCCAATTTACACAGGACCTAGATCCAGGATGCAGTAGCATTCATTGAGGGATGCCATCAGGGTATAGATGTCCAATATCAAGGTGAGGTAAGACAATCTGCATGGGTACTACAAGAATATACGAAAGAAACAGTAATATCTCATATCCACACTGTAAGAAAGGAAGACACATAGACAACATAAAAAAAAAAAAAAAAACAAGGGAGAAAATGCCCCAAACAAACCAAAACATTATAATAATCCATGGACAGAGAAGTTGATGAAATGTCAGAGAAGGAGTTCAGAAGATTCATAAGTAAAATGATTTGTGAATTAAAGAATGACCTAAATGAGCAAATACAGTCAAAAATGATAATTACAACAATGATAAGAGAGCAAATACAGGTAGCAAAAGATTACTTCAAGAGAGAGAGAGAGAGAGAGAGAGAGAGAGAGACTCTGAAAAAAACAGTCAGAAATCCTTTAAATGAAGAATACAATAAATCAAATAAAAAAACTCAATAGAAAGTATAACCAACAGACTAGATCACTTGGAAGAAAGAACGTCAGATAATAAAGACTAAGTATACAATCTGCAAAATAAAGTTGATCACACAATGAAGAAAGTTAGAAACCTTGAGCAGAGCATCCAAGAATAATGGGACAGCATCAAAAGACCAAATCTAAGAGATATTGGGATACAGGAAGGCACAGATTTTAAATCAAAAGAATGCACAATCTCTTCAATGAGATAATATCAAAAAATTTCCAAAGCATGAAGAACAAATTGGGAAACAAAATAAAGAGGTGCTCAGAACAGCAAATATACAAAATTACAACAAATCTACACCAAGGCAAATTATAATGAAAATGCCTACCATACAGAATAAGGATAGAATCTTAAAAGCCACAAGATAGAGAAATCAGACCACATATAGGGGGAGACTAATTCGTATTGCAGCAGATTTTTCAACCCAGATCCCTGAAGCCAAGAGATTGTGGAATAACATATACCAAGCTCTGAAAGAAAATGGATGCCAACCAAGAATTTTATATCCAGCAAAACTAAGCTTTAGATTTGATGATGAAATAAAAACCTTCAATGATAAACAAAAGTTAAAATAATTTACAACTAGAAAGCCTGCACTAGAGAAAATCCTCAGCAAAATATTCCAAGAAGAGGAAATGAAAAACAAAGATGAAAATCAGCAAAGGGAGGAATTACACTAAAGGACAATCTAATCAGAGGAGAAACCAAGTCACATTAAATATTAAAAATAAACAAAAATGGCTGGGAATACAAACCATATCTCAATAATAACCTTGAAGATTAATGGCCTAAACTCACCAATCAAAAGACATAGACTAGCAAATTGGATCAAAAAAAAAAAAAGATTCAACAATATGCTGCCTCCAAGAGATTCATCTCATAGAAAAAGAGTCACAGACTGAAGGTAAATGGTTGCAAAAAATTATACCACTCACATGGACTGCGAAAGTAAGCAGGGGTTTCCATCCTCATATCAAATAGACTTCAAAGTAAAGTCAGTTTAAAAGGATAAAGAAGGACACTATATACTCTCAAGGAAATGATACACCAACAAGACTTAACAAATATAAAAATATATGCCCCAAATAATGGATCACCTACATTTATCAAACAAACTCTTCTCAAGTTCAAGAGTCAAACAAATAACAATGTAATAAATTTGGGTTATGTTAACACACATCTTTCATCACTAAATAGATCTTCCAAACAAAAGCTGAACAAATAAATTATAGAACTCAATAATACAATAATAACTTTGGCTTAACTGACATATATAGAAGATTCCAACCTGTAATGAGAGAATACACTTTCTTCTCAGCAGCACATGGATCCTTCTCTAAAATAGACCATATGCTATGTAACAAAGGAACTCTTAGCAAATATAAAAAAGTAGAGATACTACCCTGCCTTCTATCAGATCATAATGGAATGAAATTAGAAATCAGTGATAAAATAAGAAATAAAATCCACTCCAACACCTGGAGACCAAATAATATGCTAATGAAGGAACAATGTGTTAGAGAAGACATAAAGGAGGAGATTAAAATATTTTTAGAGGTGAATGAGAACACAGATATAACATATCAAAATCTCTGGGACACTATGAAAGCAGTTCTAAGAGGAAAGTTCATTGCATGGAGTTGATTCCTTAAAAGAAGAAAAAGTCAACAAATAAATGACTTAACACTACATCTCAAAGCCCTAGAAAAAGAAGAACAAATCAGCGCCAAAAGCAGTAAAAGACAGGAAATAATTAAAATCACATCTGAAATCAATAAAATTGAAACAAAACAAACAACTGAAAAAATTGACAGAACAAAAAGTTGGTTCTTTGAAAAAAATAATTAAAATTTACAGACCCTTAGCCATGCTGATGTAGTGAAGGAGAGAGAAAACTCAAATCACTAACATAACATGATGAAAAAGGAAATATTACAACAGACAATACAGAAATACAGAAGATAATTAGAAATTATTTTGAAAACCTGTACTCCAATAAAATAGAAAATATTGAAGCTGTCAACAAATTTCTTAGAGTCATATATTTTGCCCAAATTTCAGGATAATATACATAATTTAAACAGATTAATTTAAGTGATGAAATATCAGACACCATCAAAAGTCTACCAATCAAGAAAAGCCCAAGACTGGATGGGTGCACAGATGAAAACTACAAGACTTTTAAAGAAGAACTAATACCAATACTCTCCAACTTATTTCAGGAAATAGAAAAAGAGGAAACACTTCCAAACTCATTTTATGAGGCCAATACAACTCTGATTCCAAACCCAGGCAAAGATACATCAAAAAAAGAAATCTATATCCCTAATGAACATAGATACAAAAATTCTCAATAAAATTCTGGCAAATCAAATATAAAAACATATCAGAAAGATCATGCACCACAATCAAGTAGGATTCATCCCAGGGATGCAAGGTTGGTTCAACATATGGAAATTAAAAAATGTAATTCATCACATTAATAGATTTAAAGATAAGAATCATATAATCATCTCAATAGATGCAGAAAAAGAATTTGACAAAATACAGCACCTCTTTATGTTCAAAACTCTAGAAAAACTAGGGATCATAGGAACATATCTAAACATCATAAAGGCTATCTATGCTAAGCCCCAGACCAATATCATTCTAAATAGAGAAAAAAAAATTGAAGGCATTCCCTCTAAAAACTGGAATAAGACAGGGATGCCCTCTTTCAGCACTGCTATTTAACATAGTTCTTGAAACACTGGCCAGAGCACTTAGACGGATGAAAGAAATTAAAGGCATACATATAGGAAAAGAAGAACTTAAATTGGCACAATTTGTTGATGATAGGATTCTATACCTGAAAGACCCTAAAAGTTCTACCAGAAAACTTCTATAACTATTAAATAAATTCAGCAAAGTATCAGGATATAAAATCAACACCCATAGATCTAAGGCATTTCTGTATATCAGTGACAAATCCTCAGAATGGGAAATGAGGAAAACCACCTCATTTTCAATACCCCCCCCCAAAAAAATAAAATAAAATACTTGGAACTCAGCTTAATAAAAGAGGTGAAATATCTATATAATGAAAATTACAGAACCCTAAAAACAGAAATCAAAGAAGACCTTAGAAGATGGAAAGATCTACCTTGCTCTTGTATAGACAGAATTAATATTGTCAAAATCACCAGACTTCCAAAAGCACTATACAGATTTAATGCAATTCCAATCAAAATTCCAATGGCATTCCTCATAGAAATAGAAAAAGCAATCATGAAATTCATGTGGAAAAATAAGAGACTCAGAAGAGATAAAGCAATCCTTAGCAGGAAGAGTGAAGCAGGTGACATCACTATATTAGACCTTAAACTATACTACAGAGCAACAGTAACAAAAATAGCATAATATTGGCACCAAAACAGACTGGTAGACCAATGGTACAGAACAGAGGACACAGAGACTAACCCACAAAACTACAATTATCTTATATTAGACAAAGTTGCCAAGAAGATGCATTGGATAAAAGATAGCCTCTTCAACAAATGGTGCTGGGAAAACTGGAAATCCATATGCAACAAATTAAACTCATACCTGTCACCATGCACAAAACTCAACTCAAAATGGATCAAGAACTTAGAAATACAACCAGAGAACCTGCATCTAATAGAAGAAAAAGTAGGCCCTAATCTCCATCATATGAAATTGGGACCCCAACTTTCTTAATAAGACTCCTATAACGCAAGATTTAAAATCAAGAATCAATAAATGGGATGGACTCAAACTAAAAAAGTTTCTTCTCAGCAAAGGAAACAATCTGTAAGGTGGGAAGCCAGCCTACATCTTGGGAGCAAATCTTTACCCCTCACACATCAGAGCCCTAATCTCTAGAGTATATAAAGAACTCAAAAAGCTAAGCACCAAAAATTACAAATAACCCCATCAATAAATGAGCCAAGGACATGAACAGACACTTCTCAGAAGATGATACACAATCAATCAACAAATAATGAAAAAATGTTTATCATTGCTAGCAATTAGAGAAATGCAAATCAAAACCACTCTAAGATTTCATCTCCCTCCAATCAGAATGACAGCTATTATGAATACAAACAACAATAAGTATTGGCAAGATGTGGGGAAAAGGGTACATTCATACACCGCTGGTGGGACTGAAAATTGTTACAGCCAATATGGAAAGCAGTAAGGAGATTTCTTGGAAAATTGGGAATGGAACCACCATTTGACCCAGCTATCCCTCTCCTTGATCTATACCCAAAGGACTTAAAAATAGCATAGAGGGACACAGCCACATCAATGTTTATTGCAGCACAATTCACAATAGCTAAGCAGTGGAAGCAACCTAGATGCCCTTCAATAGATGAATGAATTAAAAGAATATGCATATATACACAATGGAATATTACTCAGCAATAAAAGAGAATAAAATCATGGCATTTGCAGGTAAATGGATGGAGTTAGAGAAAATAATGCTAAGTGAAGTTAGCCAATCCCAAATGCCTAATGTTTTAATTGATATAATGAGGCTGATTCATAGTGAGATAGGGAAAGGGAGCATGGGAGAAATAGACAAACTCTAGACAAATAGACAAACACGGAAGTGGGAGGAAAGGGAGGGGGCATGGAGTTATAAATGATGGTGAAATGTTATGATCATTATTATCCAAAGTATATGTATGAAGACACAAATTGGTGTGAATATAGTTTGTATATCACCAGAGATATGAAAAAATTGTGCTCTATATATGTAATAAGAATTGTAATACATTCTGCTATCATATATAAATAATAATTTTAAAAAGAAATTAGAAGATAATAGCCTCCAATTTCCAAAAGACCCCATGGAATGTTTTCTGGGAGAGGGATGAAGTGCCATATTAATTTCCAGTAGGATATGGATAAAGGTGAGGAAGTAGTATCAACAAAGACCACTGGGACTATGAGGAGATAAATCCAAGAAGAAAACAAGAGAAGCCCCACCCACCACCCCCCCATCTCATAGAAATTCCCCATAATGTTGAGATGAGAAGATTAACAAACAGCTTTTCAGCAGAATTGTTATTGGGGCCATGCCTTGGAGAGACTTCTAGCTCTTCTTACCCATCCAGGTAATCATGCATCTCTCCCCCAACCCTCTTCTTGTTCTGCTTATGATGAGACTTTATCAATATCTCAAGGTCACTTCACTATACTCCTCTCACCGCAGTATTTACATTGATAAATAGTCTACTTCCTTCTTTCATTAGACCTCTACTCCTCCTTCAGTTATCAAACTAAACATGATTTCTCTTTTCCCCAATTCACACATTTCCATAGCACCTTCATGACACTCAAATTTATGCATGGTTGTGTTGTCAGTTGGGAGTGGAAAATCCACGAAGACAGTGGTGGTGTTTTCTATCTGTGTCTGTCTTCCTGCCTGGAATTAAGTTTCTACCTACAAATCACTTGATTTCTTTCCATCAACAAAGTGACCTGAGAGGTTGTCTGTATGGTGTAGATGGATTTCAGAGTAAACAGCTCAATATATTTGATTCTCCAAATTGCTCCCCCATTCACTTGAAAGTGTGAGAGAGATGAAATGTTACTCCTAACCTCTGTTTCTTCATCTGAGATAAATGCTTACTGTGTTACCTATCATCAGATAATAGTGGCAATTAAGCCTGTGGTGGGGTGGGAGTGTAGGAACAAAGTGATACCACATAGCAAGCAATGTGCACAATTGAGGTCCAATCATTCATCCTATCACTAAGGAAATACAGTTTAATTGATATAACTTAATACTGCATGAGCTAATTGCTAAGAATGTTCATCAGAGTATAACTTCATGCTCCCATATTCTCAGTTCAGTCTCTGGTTCTTTTCACATAAATTGCTATTATCAATGGTTTCCTTATGTCTGCCTTTGAAACAGAAGTACAACAGGTTGGATCAAGTAATCTCCATCTAGTTTTCATTTTGTAGACTTATTTCAACTCATCCATTATGTTTAAATATGTGAAACTTTCTTAATAACAACCTACAGGCATATGGCAAACACACAGAAATAGACAGTAGGTCACCTGTACATGTGATATGAGCTTCCTCCTTTGCAGAGCAAGATTGGTGTTTCCAGGGGTCAGAAGGACACTGCCAGAGAGAGGTATCAGTTTCCCGACAGCGGATTTTATCCACCCAGCGGGGTCTAGAACCTTCCCTGGGAGGAACCAAGAAATCTAGGGTCCCAGTGTCCCCACAGCCAAGCTGTCTGCAGATCATGGACAAAGTCATGGGTTCCATAGGGCTGTTGCAGATGCTGCCCCAGGTGTCGTTGTAGAAAACCTCCAGCCACCCAGCACACTCCTGGTCCTCGCTCACCAGCCTGAGGTCCAGGAACTCTAAAAGCAAGAGGAGGAAAACAGGGCACGGGTGAGCATTAAACTGTAACTGCTATTTTTTCTTCATTCCTATGTAGTGAGTACTCATTGCTGATTCTGATGAACAAGTGCCCACTAGGTGGAAGACTGAAATTTTTTTTCACTTTAATTCTTTTTGCTAACTTGTATCTCTATTTCTGTTTCTACAACAATGTAATATTAGCAAATGCATAGGCAGGAACACTGATGTGGGTGTTTATTCTGCAGAAAGTATCTACTATCTTTACTATCTGCCATCTATCTATATTCATCTACTATCTGATTAATCATATGACAGATCCTAGAAAAGGAGCATTAACAGAGTGTTTGTTGTAGGGACAAATGAGGTAAGGCACCAAAGATAGCAGGAAACAGTTTATTTGGCTGCAGCCAGGTTCAGAGGGCACAGCTTTTGCTCCCGAATTCAGGGAGTTTCAGAATTTTATACCCAGCATGTAAGGGGAGGAGCTCAGAAGTTCACAGTCTACAGAAGTTCACATAAGAGCAGCTTTTTCTTTCACTGTTTTGGGCAAGATAACCTTCAAGGACAATACCTGAGAAGAGGATATCTTCTTCTCCCCTTTCTTTTCTCCTCCTGCCAGCTGTTACCATGGAGCCCAGTTGTAACTTATCTTAAAAATATAGACATCTCTGTGAAGCCCCAGCTCAAGGCCAGAGGCCTTGTTTGCACACTTCTTCAAAGAACTATACTGGATATGTTTGTGAAACACTAGTAAGGGGGTGTCCAGCACCTAGAGTGCTGGTATCTTCTCAGCCAGTAGCCAAGTAAACAGGGTGACACGAAAATAGGAAGTTTATCTACATTGAACTCTTTTGCGAGACTCTTTTGCTGACAGTTCTAAAATCAGTCTGGGTGAAGATTTCTGGAGAGGCCCAGTTAAGACTTTTCAGTGGAGAAAGGGATTGCCACTTTAGGGTGGCAGAATAGTGGAGCTCCAAATATGTCTACTTCCTGATCCTGAGAGCCAGTGGATATTTTACCTCACATTGCAAAAGGGCTTTTCAGACAAGATGAAGAAAAGGATCCGTTCTCTAGGCACAGTGGGAGATGACTGTTGCTTGGAAACTGAAGCAGAAGCATCCAATGTTCAAAGCTAGCCTCAGCAACTCAGTGAGGCTCTATGCAACTTAATGTGACCCTGTCTCAAAGTAAAAAATAAATAAAAGGGCTGTGGCTGTGCCTCAGTTTTTGAGTCCTTTGGGTTTAATCCCAGTACCAAAAAAAAAAAAATGTTTTCACTGTGAGATTATCCTGGAGAATCCTAAATAGGATGTGCCCAATCTAGTGACATCCTTACACTGTATCCGCAAAAACAGATAAGTCTTTCTGGCCCTCATCAGAGGGAGATGTGAATATAGAATTATGAGAGGGTTGAGAAGTCTTGGTTTTGAAGAAGGAAGGGGTCAAACAAGGAATTCAGGCAACTTCTAGAAGGTGAAAAAGGCAAGAAACTGAGTCTTTCTGAGTTTTAGCTGTTTCAGCCTACTGAAACCTCGTTTATATCCCAGAGAGACCCAGGTCAGGTTCTCACCTACGCACTGTAAGATGACAAATTTGTGTTGATTTGAGTCATTCAGTCTATGGTGACTTGTTACAGCAGAAATAGAAAATTAATTCAGTGGGTCAGGATGATTCACCCACGTGTCAAAGAACAGTGATGACTGCTTTAAATGGACACTGTAGAGAATGACTGTGTCAGGGGACAGTGATGAGATGGAAGGAGCAGAAGCTCAGCTGCTGCAGCAGAAAATAGAAATACCTCATCTTCTCTTTTGCTGCAGGGACAGGAACTGTGAGCCTCCCTCTTTTCCCTGTCAGCAACTGCTAAACCCCTGCCCTAGGACTCAAACACCATCCTGCAGACCTTCTCCTGCCCTCCCCCACCTGTGCACAGTGTGCACCACAAACCTGAGCAGATGACCCCAGCATCCTCCTTGTGACTGCAGTTGTGCTGCCCCCAGCCCTGGGAAGGGCACTGCCACACATGGGCCTCCTCTCCTGTGCAGTTCAGCTCATCCAGCCAGATAGGCCCTGATCCCTCTCCAAAGTGAGCAGAGACGGTGACCTTCAGGGCTACTCTACAGCCCAGCTGTCTGCACACCACATCTGCATTATTCAGGTCCCAGCTCTCATCACAGACAGAGCCCCAGGAGCCCTGCTGCAGGATCTCCACTCTCCCTGCGCAGTGACTGCCCCCGTCCACCAGGCGGAGCTGTCTGCTGTCTGAGGAGAGACAGGGTCATGTCAGTGGGCATTTACACAGGGAATGGGGAGGCTCTGGTTCTGGGGGCCTTGCTCACGTGAGCAGTTGGCAGTGTGGTCCTCTGAGGCTGCAGAGTCTGCTGGGTCTGACCAGGAGTTCTTACACTGGGTCAGCAGCTGGGTCTGGTTTCCTTCAGAAGAGATTAGAGAGCAGGAAACTGAATTAAAGTACATAATAAGTCCTTTGGTTATAGTCCAAGGAGAGGGATAGCTGAGTCAAATGGTGTTGTTTATAGCAGTACAATTCACAACAGCTAAACTTTGGAGCCAACCTAGATGCCCTGCAGCGGATGAATGGCTAAAAAAAAAATGTGGCATATATACACAACGAAATTTTACTCAGCATTAAGAGAATAAAATCATGGCATTTGCAGGTAAATGGATGGCTTTGAAGAAGATAATGCTAAGTGAAATTAGCCAATCCCCAAAAAACAAATGCTGAATATTTTCTCTGATATAAGGAGGCTGACTCATAGTGGGGTAGGGGAAGCATGGGAGGATTAGATGAATTCTAAATAGGGAGGGAAAAGGAGGGGCCAGGGGATTAGCAAGGGTGTGGAATGTGATAGACATCATTATCCAAAGTACATGTCTGAAGACTCAAATTGGGTGTCAACATACTTTCTATATAAACAGATATGAAAAATTGTGGTATATATGTGTATTAAGAATTGTAATACAAAAAAAACGAAGTACATGTATAAAGGCATGAATTGGCGTGAACATACTCTATATACAAAGATATGAAAAATTGTACTGTATATGTATAATAAGAATTGCAATGCATTCTGCTATCATGTATTTAAAAAAATAAAATCAATAAAACTAAAAAAGTTGAGAAAATATTTCACAGAAAAAATTAAAAAATAAAGTACATAATAATCTGGTGATGGCATCAGAAAGGTGTAGGATATGATCAGTAATTTTCTATCTTCAGAGCTGATTGTCTATTCCAGATTTCTGCTTCTACTTCTGACATACTCTTCTGTTTTTAAACCATGACCCAAGAATTACTTTAGGAAAGTGTGAATATATCATTACTGTTTGAGAGCATTGCATAGCTCCCAGGGAAGGAAGACTTTTGGAGTCAAGTTCAGAGAAACGTAAAAACTAGAATCAACTATTTTCCCTTGAAGGCATTTAACCATTCAAAGGTAGTAGTTAAGACTGAAAAATCTCAGCATGTTTGCCACATTTCCCTGGGTATACCCTAGTAAAATTTAGGTCAGACAAAAGAGGAGAATCCTCCTAAACATCCAGAAAACTTGTGAATTAAAAGAATTTTTGTCATAAGGAGGAGTGCCCAGTTTCTCACCATTTCAGTCTCTTTGTATAATATGACCTACCCTAAATAAAGTGCATTGAAGAAAGTAAAATCTTTTCTGAAGGTTTTGTAGGATGGATTTTTTTCAAATACAAGTTTTGTCCATCAAAGAAACCCCCACATACATAAAAAGGTTTCCATAGAAAACAAAGTGCAGAAAGGAGACAAAAGAAAGATTTTCAGAGAGTGGTATCGGTGTTTCCTTATAAGTAATTGAAATAATCATGATTAAATTTTGTAAATTTAATGACATGATATGCATTTTGTTAGAAAAATGATAATAAAAATCCAATAAATATTGGATTTTTGAGAGTCGTTTATAAAAAGAACTAATGAAATAGAACCATAAAAAGTCAGAGGCTAAAAATAAGAAGCCAGAGGATGAGTCTAACAACACTGCAGGTTAGCACAAAGTAGAAATAATAAGTGGAATAATGCAGGGAGCAATCTATGAAAAACACATGTGGATCTTCTCTAGGCAGGAAGCCAGGGAAATTTTAGGTTTAACCTTGGGAATATCCATGGCCCTCTCATGCAATAGATTTCCCAAGGCACATGACCTTTATCTTTGCGTTGCCAGGAAGATCTCTCAGGGTCACTCCAGAGATGGGCATAACCCACTGGGAATTGAATAGCCCACCTTTTTAACCTTTTATGGAGAAGAACATTCTATGGAAGACCCTTGATATCCCCCAATATAAATAAAGCAGGTTCAGGCTCCATTTTTCTTTTTAGTATAGAAGCTTGATCCATATGATTGTCTAGTCTATCCTGCCCCTGCTTTCTGAATATATTTTCTGTGTCCTGTGGTATTTTTATCCTTCTATTTTTCCTAGTTTTTGTTTCTCAGCCAGCCCATTCCACTGAGGGGAACCCCATTTCCATCACCTGTGCAGGACGTGGGTGAGAAAAGATCATGGGAAAATGTACAATGAAAAACAGAAAAACAAAAACATAGGAAATATAATAGGATACTAAGAGCCATAGTGAGAGAACCTCACATTCCTATATACTTTACAAGTTTTAGGTATTAAGGCCATAAGTGGTAGTGTAAAAGTATAAATTAGAAAATACATCTTCCGAGCACTTCCCCTTCTCCCTCCCTTTCCCTCCCACCTCTCTTCGCTATTTAGTGGTAATCTTCTTCTCATGCTCTTCCTCCCTATCCCATGGAAGGAGACCCTCATTGTTATACAGAATACATGCATGATGATGTGAGGGGGGAAAAAAAAGAAGTGTATCACATTAGATTGGGTAGAGAGAAGTGATGGGAGGGGAGGGGAAGGGAGGGAGGACAGGAAGGGCAGCAGAATAAAATAGACACTAGTTTTGCTGTATGTATATACATGACAGTATGACCAATGTGATTCTGCAACCTATACACTCAGAAAAATGAGAAATTATACCCTATTTGATTCAAATGTATATGTCAAGATCAATGTACTGTCATGTGTAGCTAATAAAAAAAATAAATAAATAAATAGAAAATATAAAAAGTGGATTATTTAACACACCTGTCATTTTTTAAAATACCCACAAAATCTGTGACACTCTATCCATTGACCTGTGCAGTTCATTCCTCCTTCCCTCCAATCTGGGCTGACAGTGGTGAGTTGTCTATAAGCAATAGAATGTGGTGAAGCCAGCACAGCTTGATTAGGAACCTAGCTAAGAAAGTCAAGCCTCCTCCTCATGTTTGCCACATTTCCCTGGGTGTACCCTAGTAAAATTTAGGTCAGAAATTGCATCCATTTGATGCAAATGGATGTTTGACTTAGTAGGATGTTTGCTTCATGGGAAACATGTAGAGACTATCAGTAGAGAACTATCATGTGGGAGAAAGCATTTGCAGGTGGCTCTGTCAGCATCCCCAGTTGAACTTCAAGCCTCTGGCCATGTGAATGAACTATCCAAGATGGATTTCCATTTTGGTCAAGTCTTCAATGACCTCAGCTCCAGATGAGATCTAAGTGCAACCTTATGAGAGACTTCAAGAGGGAACTTCCAACAGCTTTTGCCAAATTTATGAATCTGGAAATGATGGACAAAATCAAATATATTTTTTATTTGTGTTGCTATTTTTTGCAAGGATGGATTATTATAAGCAGTAGCACCTAGGACAATTATATTTACTAAGAAATAGCAATCCTATGTTCCCATATTTATTGTGGCATTATTCACAATAGCTACAGTATGAAAGCAGAAGCTACAGTATGGAATATGATGTCCATTACAAGAGAAATTCATAAAGAAAATGTGGTATCAATATAGCCATAAAGAAGAAGGAAATCCTGCCATTTGCATCAAATTGATGAAATTGTAGGACATTATGTTAAGTTAAATAACCAAGATACAGAAAGACAAGTACAACATGTTCTCCATCATATATGGAAGCCAACAGGTTAATTTATGGAATTTGGCAATGCACCGTGGTTATGTAAAAAAAATTCTTGAAAATATTTTAAGAGTAAATGGACACATCATCTTATCCACCTACTATTCACTCAGAAATATTTTATATATTCAGGGATAAAAGTGGCAGAATGAAGGGATACTATAGAAAAATAATAGCATTGGGAAATCTTCATTAGGATTATCTGGGAATTATATACTATCTTTGAAGTTTAGTCAGAATTCTCAACTAATCAAATAAGTAAATAAATGAGAAAAAAGAAAAACAAAGCCACAAAAATGTTAAGATGAAACTTAGTAGTTATGGTTTAGAGAGAGAGTGTCCCCTAAAAGCTCATGTGAGAGATAATGAAAGAAAGTTTAAAAGTGGAATGATTGGGTTATGAGACCCTTAATCTAATTGGCACATTAATACTCTAATAGTATTAACTAGGTGTTGAGTATAGGCAGGTAGGGTGTATCTGGATGAGATGGGTCCTGGGGGCGGGCCTTTGGGGTTTATATTTTGTCCTTTTTGAGAAGAGTTCTCCCTATTTCTGCTTCTTGGTGGCCATCTGCTGACCTTTTTCCCCTGCTTCACTCTTCCACCATGATATTCTGCCTTACCTCCAGCTCCATGAAATGGAGTAGGATATCTATGGAGAGAGACCTCTGAAACCTTGGACTTCAAAATAAACTTTTTCTCCTAAAATTGGTCTTGTCAGGTCTTTCTATCACAACACAAAAAAAAGCTGACTAAAACATTAATAGAATTAATTTCTAGGACATTTCATTAAAAAACACATACAATAGCATCATAAACCTAAAACACCAAAAGTATGCCTAGTAAGAGTTATCTACAATCTCTGAGAGAAATTAGAGATATACCTTGCAAGTCAGTTAGCTCTATATTGATGTTTACATCAAATTCAAACTCAATATAAATACCATCATGCTATTATTGAATTAAACATATCAAGCTGTTTGTAAAATTTATGTGAAATGCATAAGACTAAGTATGACCAATGCACTGGGCAGAAAAAATAACACAATTAGAGCAGTTGCTCTAAAGTAATCTTTTAAAATATTAGTCAGAAATGCTATAAAGTTATAATTAATGAGGCATGCATGGCTACAAGCATAAAAAATGACTGAATGGAACAGAACATAACATAGAGCATGAGCAGAAATATCTGCACACTGTGTATTTCAAAGGTGACACAGCAGTGGGGAAAAAGCTTTTCAGTAATGATTCCGAGACATTTAGATGTCCAAACAACAATATGAAAGGTTTTTCACACCACACAACATATGTACAATATCAACCACAGAAAGATGTAAAAGAAATGTAACTAAACTTCTATATGATACTTTTGGAGAATATTTTTTATGATCTTATGGTAGTAAAGTTCTATTTAAAAGGGCAGTAGAATACTAAGTGTACAGGAAATATTGATACACTATGCTTCATTAAGAACAAGAATTTGGCTGCAGAAAGAACACCATAACAGGAGAGGGTCCTGGATTAAAAACCATATACAAATATATCCATATTTGCACCAAAAGATATTGACATGGTAATTTGTAGGATCATTATTTGGGCACTCAAAAAGTGCAAACTACCCAAATCTCCACATAACTTGAATGGATCAATACATGATCCTGTGTTATTTGACAGAAAACTCTACAGTTGTAAAAATAAATGAGATTAGGCTAAAAATGAAAACATGGATAAATTCTAAATATTATGTTGAGTCAAAGTAGACATAAATAGAGAACATGCTATGACTTTACATAAAGCTCAAATCCTGACAAAAATTATCTTTGGCAGCATTTAGAGTGGTCTTCTTTGGAAGGGAGGAAGGCACAGTGACTGAAGCATCTGCAGGTGACTTCTGGGAGAAGCTGATTATCTCTGATGGCCCAGGGTGAGAAACTTGACAGAGCTATTACTCATTATTATACAGTGTTCTCTATGAATTGCAATAACAATACTAATACTAATAATAATAATGCTTACTTAAAACTATTCCTCATAATACCCCTTGACAGGGCCTGAAAGATGAATGATCATTGAGAAGAATCATATTTTACAACAGAATGTCTCACTTCTGAACTCACACTATCAGCTCTTAGAGACATGTTACTCAAGTACAAATCAGTCCTGACCATTTTTCACCAGCCAAACATCTGTATATCCTGACAGAAGACAGGGTTTATCAACATCCCACATTTTCCTTACCCCCATAGAGTGTGTAGGGAGGTTAAGGTCCTGCTGTGAATCTCACCTAAGCAGACAACTTACCTGAACAGACCACAGAGGCTGTGTTTCCATGGGCACAGGCAGGAACACCCAGGGCAGTCACAGGGCAATTCCACAGGAAGGACTCAGACCCTGAGCAGTGGAATTGGTCTCTCCAGATCTCATCTCCTCCTTCCACAAAGTATGCTCCCTTTGGGGTGGAGATGGCGACTCCACAGCCCAGCTGGCGGCAAACAACATTGGCATTGGCCATATTCCAGTTGGAGGCACAGAGTGTTCTCCAGCCTCCAGAGGTCTTCATCTCCACTTGACCCTCACACTGAGAGCTCCCATTTTTCATGAGCCAAACATCTGTATATCCTGGTAGAAGACAGGGTTTAGCAACATCACATATTTTTCTTATCCCCACAGAGTGCGTAGAGAGGTTAAGGTCCAGCTGTGAGTCTCACCTGAGCAGACAACTTGCACAGCCCCTCTGTGTAGGCAGCTGCCTCCAGGACAGGGCACTCTGGGGCAAAACCAGAGCCCAGGTTCCTGTCCCGTACACTGGAACTCTTCAGCCCAGACCTGTTCACCAGGCTCTCTGAAGGGCAGGTTCCCCAGGACAAATGTAGCCTTGCCACACCCCAGCTCTGCACAGATGACCTGGGCTGTGGGTAATGTGAAATTCCCATCAGATACTGGAATCCACTCTCCTCCAGAATTCACTTCCACTCGTCCCGAGCAAGGTCCATGTCCTCCAATCAGATGCACAAATCCTGTGGGAGAAAAAACAACAAGTATCAGGGACTAGAACAGGAAGTTGCACGTCACAGGTAATGCTGTGAAATCTTTCATTTTCCATGGTTAGTTTCAGGGAGTGGATTTAACAGAGGGTGCCTGCTGAGGTCCAGCCCCAGGGGGTGGGTTGGGGGGAGTGGGGTTCCAGGAGTCCTGAAGGAGGAGAAGTGACAGAGAAAGAAGAGGAGTCGGGAGGATAGGTTGCAAGTTACAAGCAGCCTCCAGAAGACATGTCTGCTGCCCCTAGAGTGATCTTTATTTTTATACCTTTTTTACAGGTGTTTTTTCAGGTAGTAAATGGACAGCTTCAAAGCCTGAAACTTTTTTTGATTTACATAATTTTCAAGAGTTACAATCTTTTCTGACATACATTGATTACCTACGATATTGAGTACATTGTTCAAAATATTTTTCTGTAACCTTAGCTAATGATGATTAAGCTTTTAGGTTTTTACCTCAATCATTAGGTGCTAGGTGACACAACTAGACTACATGACTCCTAACCTATTATTCACTTCTAACTTTAAAGCATACCTAAAATTATTTCATTAACCTTTAACTTTAAAGCATACTTATGATTATTGGTAAGCTTTCTTACTTGTAAACTAAAATCCCAGTAAAGAACTCTTAAAGTTGTGAAAGTCTATTATTTAAAAGCCTACTACTCTGAAGTGCCTCCAAAATATATATCTATGTAAATTTTACATTATTCTATTTTTAATTTCCAAGGAAATTTTCTTTTTTCATATGACCTATTCAACTGCTTTCTTAAAGAACTTCCTTGATACTTGGTCAAAGCACACCAATTACAATGTCTTTGTAATCTTTAACTAAAGGGCAGGCTTTACACCTCAACCCATTTGTCATTTATATTAACTATGTGTTTTCCATTTTCATCAAAAGTTTCTGTGTAAGGCAAAGGAGGGTCTATTGGTTGGGGAATGTATTTTTATTAGCCTCTTGTCCTGGAGGGCGATACCATAAGCTACATAGGTGGTCCTTGTACAGTTGGCACAGCAATTGTTTTTCTGTAGCTAGGCTGTTGTACAATTTGTGGCTTTAGGATGGGGTTGGGGGGGGGGGCTAGTGTAAATTTTTAACCATGGGATAAATATTTCTTGTTGTTTAGGCTTGAGGGATAACACCATTGTTTGTATCCAGAGAGATACTGAAATGCATCTCATGGCATGTCTCAATTGAATCCTTACTCTCATTCTGGGAATTTTCCTGCAATCTCGGGCAATATGTGCTTTTAGTATTGATTGATGTATGCCCTATTATCCATATCATGAGTATCATAAAACAAATCACTTAACATTCCTAATAGTTCCAGTTTCCAGATGGTGCGGCCCTGCCGCAGCATCCCCCACGCTTTGACCCTGTCAGACAGCGGGTGCAGGAACGTCTTCACCAGGTGCCAAAATGTGAATTCTATGCATGCATATACATAACATGTATATGTGTGTGTTCAAAGAAATGAATATATATATATATATATATATATATATATATATATATATATATATAAAATGTGTAATATGCCTTTTTCTTTTATATGGATGTATTATTATTCATATTATAAAAGTGTATATTTGTATGACTTTCTGTGACAGTTTACCTCCTTTTTTCAAAATAAGATCCATATCTATCCACTGAATGTGAACTCCATGTACAAAAAGATTATGATTAATTTTTCACTATTTTATGCCCTGAAACTTTCAATTCAGATAATAATTCCAACAAAGATAAAATTTGTTAATGAATGAAAAATTCAATATGTATCAAAAACTGACAATTTATATTTATTTCCCATTTGGGGATGAGAAAAGAGCTCACTAAATAGTGTGAGACTGAGCTTATTGTAACTAAAGTAATCAGGGTTCTTTATATCATACTTCCTATTACAGAAGACAGACAATTTAGAAGTAGGAAGTGAATTTATACAGAGATTTGAGCATGGTGTTTTGGTTTTTTTATGTGTGTGTTTTTAAGTTATTACTTTGTTTTTAATAAGCACAGTTTGACAAATCCATGATGCATCTATTGAAGCTGATCAATTTCAAGTATAGGTTCAGACATTTGGGAGAGCATTTGATTACCAATGTAAAATTGTAATATAACAGTAATTTTGTGTAGTGAGGAAGTTCAGCAAGGAATCATTTCTTAAGAGAATACTTTGTGCAATATTTTTCCCTAACTAAACCATCAAAGTGGAAAGACAATCAAAAGCATTAATCTACATTACTAAAATTGTTACTTAAAACACTATAATTGGAATACTCCCTTTTCTCTCTAAAGCTGATGTACTAACATGAAGTGTGGATTCCTGAAGTCTTACTATATTGGTAATTTTAATTTATACCATTATTATAGAGGAATAATGATAAACATTATCTTATAGAGTCAAAATTCCAAACTGAATTCACTAATCTTTAGGAGGTTATGTTTTTAAGAATATGAGCCCTGCAGGTACATCATAAAAATCAGCCAGCAATACAATTATCCTGTGACAGGAACAACAAAGATCAGCCTCCAGAACAGAAACCTGACTGGCTGAAGGCTCTGCCTGTGGATGCAGCCAGGTCTTCTTCTCTGTGAACTCTGGTTTTCACACAGTTCCACCTTCACATTAAAGGTCAACATCAGCACCATCAGAGAGGGCCACCAGTTTTGCATGACTAATTGTAGTTTTAGCTCAGATAGAAACACAATCTCGCCTTCATTGGCATTATTTCCTTTTTATTTTCCTTTATTTCATTCTCTATGGCACTTTTCTAGCATCCAAGAATTAGAATTGCTGAGCTGAGATAGAATAACATTACATCCCGGTTCTATCTGAGATAATCCACTGTGATATCTGAGTACAGTGTCCTCTAGATAAAATATTAAGAGGGCATCTTTGTCTTGGGCACTGAATTATATTGCAATATCAAACATTTTGCAGAGATTTTTGTATAATTTCCATTAATAAAAATTGGAAAAATTTCAGATAAAGAAATAGATCACCCAATGCAGGCTTCACCTTTACTCTTCTACAGTGATGGTAAAGACCTAATCCAGCCATAGCCTGAGAGGGCAAAGTGTAAAATTTATACAGTACATGTACTGAGATGATCAACTGAGCATCTGTCATTGTGCAGAATAGAGATCCTGAGATGTTCAATGAGCAGGATTGTTACAAACTCAGCAATACATTTATTTATCTTTCAAAACACATTGAGGATTTATTATGTTCTGGGCACTGTATTATAAAGTACCATATATCCAAAATCCTTGAAACAATTTTTTGAAAAAGACACAATTTAGAAATTAGAGCCAGCTGCCATCAATACAGATAGTATTTTTGGAAGATGATTTACTCTGTTACACTTGATGAAATATAGACACAACAGTCAAAGTGTGGTTTAGATGCATTGTTTATATTGTTTAGATACATTGTTCTATAAACCCAAATACCCATCTAGAGAAAATGGATATTATCTGTGACCAGGGAGAGTGGAATGGTATGAATGAGCACATCAAACACACCCTGTGATGATCATGAGGACTGGCTTCTCAAAGGAAGAGACGCTCAGCAGAATATTAGGATGAGCAAACATGTGGGATCTATGTAAATGCAACTAGAACAATTTTATGATGGTGTTTATTAACTATATTATCCTTTTAATGGTTAAGTGTGTTTCCTTTAGCAAATGCACTTATTTGCTGAAATACAGGTCAACATCCAAATTGTTAATTCTGTTTTCCGTAGGACATGAAATTTCATGACAAAGATTCAGTGTGTCCACGATTCAAGGATATTTATGACAGAAGGCTAGTGTGAAGGAATTATGTATGGAATATGTTAAAAATTATTAAGAATAATGTTTTTATCAAATAATAGGCTTCAAGCAGATTGGACTGAATACAAACAGATTCAAATACACATACACACATACATGTGTATATGTATGTAGAATATAGTACTTATAAAATCATTCAAATACCTACATTTAATTTTAAATAATAATATTTTAAATTATTAGACTACATATATTTATATCTAAATATTTATTAGATATTTTAGGGATAGGCATAAATAAAAGAAAATTAGTCTCTGTTTGGTATTGTCCTGTGTAGTCAAATATGTAGATGTCAAAAAGAGTCATAACATGGGCTGGGGTTGTGGCTCAGTGGTAGAGCGCTCGCCTCTCATGTGAGTTAAATCCTTAGCACCACATAAAAATAAATAAGTGATATAAAAGTATTGGGTCTGACTACAATAAAAAATATTTTTTTAAAAAGAGTCATAACTCATGGAAAATAAATGATACCTGTTCTTTAGAAAATATTAGAGTGTGTTATAAAAAAGACTCATTCTAGGGCTTTCCTTTTAACATAACATTTTCAGTGTGTCCTCTAACATGACTTTTCCATATTGATTAAAGTCTTTCAATTATCTGATATAACACAAATCCTTTCATGGTCTAGAATTGGGTAAGGAATCAATATCACTACTGATGATTATTTTGCTTAAAACACAATTTCACTACCTTAAAGTTGTGGGGGGCAAATGTGGGGATTGAGAGTGTCAGCCAGGTTGGATCCTTCTCTCAAGACTGTAGGAGAGGATCCTTCCTTGCCCTCCCTCACTTCCACTGGTCAATGACAGTCCTTGGTGTCCCTTGGCTCACAGATGCATCACTTTAGTTGCTGCCTCTGTGCTTACCTGTCCCTCTTCTCTGTGTCTGTCTCTGTGTTCCCTCTTTTGAGGACATGAGTCAGGTTGGACTAGGAATATGGATGACAGACTTTAGAATATGACTGAAGAATTCAGTGCAAAACAGCAGGATGAAAATTCCTCACAACCTTTCTGCTATAGTAACAGGCTCTTCTTCTAAATCTGTGATGCTTCAGTGAGGACTTTTGAATCTCCTCCTCTGATGTATCACACTTAGAGAATAGAGCCACATCCCAGTCTAATCAACTGTACCAGAAG